TGATTCTTATTCATCCTGTGGCAGTCTATGCAGACTAAACCGAAGAATAAAAATTGTTCAGCTGCAACACTCTTTCGGTGCCTATCTGCCATGCCACCCGAAGGAAACACGACGACTGAGACACCGCCAGGTTGCTCAGGCCTGGACAGGAGCAGTTATACTGCAGAGGTTGGGCTCGAACCACATCCCTTCCGATCAGTAAAGTTGCGCCTTAGCCATTGGGCTATCCAGATCTCAGCCATACACTAAACTTCTGACCACAGATAAAATCGTCAGGAGGTACAACTTCAGTGAAAGTGAAGAACGTTATTTGACACATAAATATTGACTCTCTTTAAGTGTGAAACAGCGGAGGAGGAGACTCTACGAAAAACACCTACTTTGTAGTTGTGGGTGCCCAAAAAAGTTCACTTTCTTCCACAACCATTTCTGATTCGGTCGGTACTTCGGGTTGGGTTTCTGGGAGTTCCCAGCATCGAGAATGTGCCTCTGAAGAGATGTGGTGGCTACTATGCAATCCCGGTTCGGAATCATAGGCCAAAGCACCGGTCGATGAACGCGTGATGAATGGCGTTGATGAAACCGCATTATTTTTCTCTTCCATAGGTGTCACCTGAGCGCCAGTAGCAGTGGAGAATCGACCTGAAAGTGCTGGCGTGGCAGTACAATTAAATTCATTTGGTGTGGCTTCTGACGTCCTAGTTATTGGCAGGATGGGGGACCCAGTAAGCATCTGATTTTTAACTTCGAGTGGCTCAGTTCCACCTGAAAAAAAAAACGACCGGAAACTGATACATACAATATTAAATTCAACGCAACTTAATCGGACTAATGAACAGTGACCGAAAGGAAGATGACAAGTAAACCCAAAAGGTCACAGGCTGACCATTATATATGTAACTAGAAGCAGAACAGAATTGCTCCCGATATTCGTGAGATGTGTACGGACTGGGAGTCCTGACAGGTATCAAGGAATTATATAACTACGGACTAAGAAACTGAGCAGCAAAAGCACAGAGTGGATGACCAAAACAGCTAGAAAAGCGTCCATCAACAGGGTACGCAGAGGTATATGGACAAACGAAGTCATTCTTGGCTCATGGCATAAAGGAGCAACTTCTTGAAATTTCTGGAACCATAAAAGAATGGGCTCAAACTGCAAAGAAGTATGTTGTGTATTTACATTAGACTCAGCCGCGAACAACTCACGGTAAAACCAGGAAACATTCATAAAATGATGGAGTGCCTTTGCTTTGTTTTGCCGTACGTGGCTTTCAATTTTCTTCGTTCTAGTGGTTTTTGAAACTAGGAGCACACCCACCACTGATTTCGGTTTCTAGCTAAACCTTTCACTATAGCTACGCAACACCATTCAATATCATTTACACATCATCCCTGAAGGCGAACTTGGTAAACAGAAGCTATGTATACTGCAAATCTCTCCGAAACTCTATTTCGCGTCACCGTTTGAATAAAGCATGAGGGACTAGAGCCGTGGAGAACACATATGGGTCGTTTGATTTTGTACGGTGAAAATATACTGCGATATCTCGAATATCGTGCCACTTGGTTCATGAGACGGCTGTGTGCAGTTCAGCTGTAGAATATCATAAATGAGGGATTCAGATGAGTCTCCCGTGAAAACCAAATTGATTTGCAAGTGAGTGTATTTGTCGAAATCGGTTCAAAGCAGAACATAAGGTTGACGGAAAGTCGGGGACTGCGCCTACCTGATGTGCCCCAAGAAGGGAGACACCGGTCGTGGGCTGTCGAAGAGTTCTCAGCAACCTTGTGAGTAGTTTCCTTTATGAAAATACAGAGCTTTTGTGTAAATACATAAGATGGCTGAATGGCCAAATACGTTCATTCACTTGTTCGTTCAATCAAGCCACTGGCGACCTTCTTGCCGTGAACAAACTCACACCCACTCCGCTGGTCGCATGCTGCTAAGCCGTGTTTGGTAAGCTCCGCCAACGCGCCTGCTATCCGGAACGTGTGGTACCAATGGTGGCCTTCGGGACGCATCGTTTTCTGCACATGTACTTTTCGTGTTTGGACCCTTCCCGATACCAACGCATAACTTTCGTTCTGTTTCCTGCTTATTTAAGGAGACATCTGATCCTGGCAGCATAGAGTCGGCTACCAAGAGGGATCCAGCCTGTCAGTGAGATATCGGCCCAATCACTACGACTGACACCAGTACTTGCAACTTCAAGCAACGATGCTTGCTTGCACCAAAAAAACGCACAGGGAGTGTTCAGTTGGAGTGAGGTGGATGGATCGATCATATAACCGAGCTAGAGTCTTGCAAGAAGTATACACATATATCGAGAATTAAACCTGCTTGTCCTAAATAAGTCAACGTATATAAATGTGGCACGGTTGAAAAAGGCGGGGTGAAGGAAGAGGGGGAATTTACAGAATACGTAACCCTTACTTGTGACGGTAAGTTAACTACTTCCCAGTCTGGGCCAGAGTCTTTATCACCGACAACAACCGCAAGATGAGCCCAAAGAGCGGTGAGTGTAAAAAGGTCAAAAGAAGTGTGCTCGGGTGTTTAGTCACATCGCTTTGTCTAGAACGAGACCAAGGAATATGTGTGATTCCACGATCTGTTTGCGAGTCGCACAAGCCGAAGTAGATTTTCTCTGGGAGCCTTCAACGGAGCATTCAGGATCTCGGTGACCACTGTTTCAGTTTGTATGTCCTTTAGGTGGCAGAATACCATTTAAAATACCCAACGCAACATACGACCATAAGTGCTGGTGAGTGCCGAAACCCTTTTCATCCATATTTACGCCAGAGTCGAAGAGTTGAGTCCAATCGCTGATCACATGATACCTCAAGCCCCGCTCGGTTCATCTGCAGAAGAGAAACCGATGACAGCCTGTGGAACCGCTTGATCCCGACAGAAAGAGACGATGGCTGTTTCTGCGATGGGTCTAACATAGTGAAGTTAGTTCGACATACTTCCCTTGCCTTACAATTCTTTGGTTAGTGTTGTGGACCACAGTCCCTTAATGCCTTCTTATTGCCGTGAACCCCGGTCTGGATAGCCACCTGAGCGCCTGGTGCGCTTGGCCAAACCAGAAAAAGTCAACGAACGTGCGAACCAGCCGCTCTATTGCCACGTACAAGCGGTCAAAAGTGATACTAAGAATACAGCTCATCTGTCAAGGGCGAGTGAAGAACAACCAATGAAATCTGTTCCAAAGAAAAACGGTTATTCCATTGGCAGTTATGTGGTCCCGTTAGGTTCGGAGCTGGATCTCCTAATAGTTAGATATTTTATTTGAAAGCCCGTCACTTGTAGAGAAAAACTACGTGTAATGACGAATTCTCGCTGCCATACAAAATTCAAGAGCTGAGAAACAAACAACTGTACTTTCTATGATGTCATGCGTTGCCATATCTCAGAGTACCAAAGAAAACCTCACCGATTTCGAGTCCCAGTTCCTCTTGAACATCAGAGAAACCATAAACAAGATGCCTCTGGGTATTCGGTTTCAAGTGCGTTTCACACACCAGAAGTTCGCTCAACAACGTCTTGTCGGTTGTTCTTGATTGGTTTCGGCCACCTAGGATTGGTGATGGAGAGCGACTCACATACTGAGAAGGATTAGGCAGCAAATCGTCTGCAACCTGCTCTGTGTCGATCACAATCGGAGCCAACATGTTCGAACTGGCAGCTGAATCAGTGTCGCTGTCATCCCCCGGTGAAACCAAGCACACGTAAGGTTTTGTGGATGCCGCTGAAGTGCCAGTAGAATTCTTTTGGATAGAAGAATTTTCCAGATCGGCCAGCTGTAAAAGGCAACGTTTAGGGTGCGCCGCATAGGTCACCATCAAAGAAAACTACATCGAAATTGGAGGCTATCCCATAATCATTACAAAAATAACGAGACCAGCACGATGGTACCCAGATGTTTCGTAAGTTCGTTTCTATGCTTCGGCGGTTGCCCACCTCTATCAATGCCATCACTTATGACATGAATCGATAAACGACCATTTGACATTCATACCGTATGTCCAATCAAACGAGGCATGCTAGAACGGATACGGCTCTGGAATGAAGCACCCGCAAGGGGGCGAGATAGCTCAAGTGGTTAGGACGCAAATTTACTGACCCGGAGGTCCGTGGTTCGAACCCCACTTCTGCCTCTCGACTTCCCCTGTCTAGGCTTGGGCAACCTGACAGTATCCCAGCCCTCGTGCTTCCTTCGGGTGGCATGGCAGCTAGGCACCGAAAGGGCGCTACAGCTGAACGAACGTACCCACAAAGTTACCAGGCAAACGTTTGTCCTCCTCGTTGAGAATTAAATTACACCATCCTATAACAGCAGTAGTTGCGGAGCCTCAATGATCCAGACCTGGACAGGCCTTAGATGCTAGACCACAGACTCAAGATCTTGTAGCCAAACAACAATCAATAACCACGCCTTCTAGCGAAACCAGACAGACAGAAAATCCTCCTGAAGGATACTAATAATGTGTTTGTTTAGAAAGTGAACGTGAAAGCAGTCTGACAAGTAATTTTTGGTTGGGAAGAAGCCTGGTGTGTCTGACGTTCACCCTTCACATCAGCAATTTAAATTTTTTAATATTGCATTACAGATCACTCACTCAAATCAAATCCTTCCGGATGACAATTGAAACTGATGTCAGTATTGATTACGGACTAGCAAGAACAGGTAGAATACATAACAGCTGGGGATGATTCTATTAATAGGCTATTTTACCTCAAATCAGTCAAAAAATGCCCTGATGTACTGTTGACTAGCTAACTAAAGAAAACCAAAACATCTTTCGAACTTATACCAACTAATTTCGGGCAAAAAAACAAGACTGCTTACATTTTAACCGTAGTCCATTTGACAGCACACTGAACAGTTTGGTGAAATAACATTAAATCAAGCGGTATCCCAACATAAGAACAAAGTAGTAACCCATTGAAGAAGGACAGCTCGCTTTGGACCACCATAAGAAAACAGCTTCTTGGGAACGCCACTGCTTCGAAAGTGAAGGTCACTTCAGCAAGACGTTGCAGCCGTGACTCCTGCGTTAACGCTAAACGGTTTATCACAATGTCAAAAATTTACGCTACGAACAAGCCAGTCCCATGCACCAGATGATAAGAGGTCAAATTCTTATGAAGGCCGGAAGAATACGACAACCATGTGGACCAATAAGGGCGAAGCTCTGACTTGGCTACCAATTTTTTTTTAAAAAAAACAGCATTTTGCATTCGAACAAGTATCCCAAAAATATGAAACGGTAGTGTGCACCCACCGGATTTCGCATACAATCATCGCCAGATAACTGTGCTGCTACAATCGGTTCATCCATGGACGAAAGATGAATAACTCCCGTTAGGTTCCCGAATTGCACGCGATCACCCGGCCGCAATTCGTAGCTAACTTTTGGTTTCAAAGCCATTCCATTTCGTCTCGACCCATTCAGAGAGCCAAGATCGGTCAACATACACAGATCGTTTTCATCTACTTCGATGGTCGCATGCAGCCTGGAAAGAGACTATGGAAAGAAATCTCTTGAAATAAAACAGAACTTCATTGAGTAATGAGGTGCTACCACCATTAGAAGAGTGGCAGATGAAATAATCAACACACGGGGTGTAGTAAGCTAACCAACTATATACATCTGAAAATGAAAAACCTCGTGTCACCATTGGAGTGTAGAGCGAAATTATGGTGTCCAGCTTCCTGTCCCAAAAACCTGGCGTATGGAAATAATGGGGGAGTCACTTGATTGTACTTGATAGGGTACTTGACAAAGCATGCGAGATGCAAAAAAAGTGACAAACTGGTTAGGACTCCTAGTTACTGAGAGCTTACCAACAAGGTACAACTTTTCAATCTGGGAACGCATCTGCATATGTGAAAGAGACTGTGGAACGCCAGCACTTCAGGAGAAACGAAACCATGACAAATGGGTAAAGGTGGAATTTCTATGGCTTGTGGAAAAGTTGTCTGGCCCTTCAATCACACTATGGAAATACAGAAATCGAAGCAACACAGAAGCAATCACATCTCTTCAACTTTTACAACCGAAAGAGCCCTTTAAAGCGCCGTCCGCAATTCATCCGCATAAAGTAGATTAGGAAATGAATGGGATGTAGTAACGAAAGAGCAAAACCTTCTCCTGCTGTGATAGTCCTATAGCCCACAAAAGACTAAACAATACTGAATGAATGACGATAAGCAATCTTCAACACCATATTAGTCAACTTGTAAGTGCGCAGTCCCTTAGCATCCAAGGTTGGAGAGTGAACCTACGTGACTACCGGTTTCTTGAAGTTAGATTACTCTGGAAGTCTTGTGTTGAAGATGTTTTTGGCTTTGCCCCATTGGGTTTTGGGGTCCGGAGAATATCACTGACCACAAGAAATGACGAACATCAAAAACGTAGATAGCTTCAGGCAAATCAGTCGTTATATAGCACCGGCAGTGTCATTTTGCAGACGATATGAAGTATATGAAAAACAAGCTACAGCCAACATACCTCCCTTGTGTACCATACCTTTCTAATCCCCTATCCAAAACTGGTAATACTATCTTCACAGGCCCATGCGTGTGGGTTGGGAGTTCTATTTCCTAACATGGATATTGGCTTCAACGTTTAGCCGTCGGTCTGCTACCAAAAAGGTAGGGAAATGGAAATCCTGATTCGACTCCAGACTATAAGTTCATCAATCTGAAAAAGGCCGAAAAGCAGGCTGCGTTTGCTCATAAGCACTAATTGGTACTGCCTTCAATGATGACGATGATGTTGGTGGTAGTGAGGAGGATGAAGGTATTGATGCTGATGATGTCTGTATTTATGATGGCGGCGATGCTAACTTCGTTGCGGAGCTGATTAGGAGGATGGCGTGCAGACTGGAGCGTGTAGACCTATCCAACACAGCAACGATGATGTCCCTACGATTCTCGACGAAGCGTCTGTAAGCAAATTGAAAAGCTTGGCAAAAAGATTAACAGCAACCTAATCTACAACCAATTAAACCACCAGAGCTACCAATATTTCGATATGATAAATGCATGTCTTGACCATCACGCCACTATGCACAAGCAGACTGGTAGCCCTCCAGAGACCATTGTGTGTTCACCTTCCGCATCTATTCCTTCTGACGCACGTAAGAATTGGTAGATCACTCACACAACGGACTTCTCCGAATTCTTCATGTATCCGAAGTGTGTGAAGGTATTCAATGGTACAACCCCTGTATCTGAGGAGAGGGGACATCTGTCAAGACGTTGTGATCTGGTTAATCTACTGGATGTATGCAGCGAATTTCAACACAAAAAGCCGCTGTTCGATTAAAGATGCGCCAAACCAACATCCAACTCTAACCTCTAACACCAAGCATGATGACAACTGCCAAGCAAGACTTAGGGAACATTTCTCTTTAGGACTCTGTCCCAGCTGATCAACCACGTAAGAACGCTCACAGAAAACATTTGTCCCCTGGTAAAGATAACTCTACAAATGCACATAACACAAAGCAGAGGTAAATTTGAATGAGTAATATGTAAATGAGACAACGAAGCTACGAATGGTATGTGCTCTGTATTTAGTCGGCTCTGTTTAGCAAATCACCTGAAAATATGACTAGGCCATAAACTAACATAATGTACCTGTAGCTCTGAAATCGGATCCTACTTGATGGTAATCTGGCTACAGCTGATACGGTCCGTGTGACGTAACGTTTACCGGAAACACTGCACTTGAAGGTTTTGAAATAAACTCACGCTGTCGTCCACGAAGAAACTGCATTCACGGTCCCTTCCGATAATATTTTTGCCTAGAGGTCATCACATTACAACAGAAGATGCTCACCTGATATCGACAATAGTTCTTTTTGTCCATTGTGCTCTAAAGTCAGAAAATACTTCACCCCACTGAAAAAGTGAGATAAGAACAAACCTTTGGTTGGCCATCTGCAGCATCAGCACTGAAATTCCTGTCGTCAATCGGCTGAGTGCACATGAATTCTGCCATTGCTTAAGGACGTCCGAACGAGGAACGGATGAGGGTGGCGTTGTGTCCAGCGGAAAGGAACATAACATATCTCAATTAATTGATTGAGATTGATTGATTTATGAAGAATGGGTAGGGAGCACGCCTCTGTATGTTTAGTCATGAGGCAAATTTATAATGGCGAAATCTCTGCACAAGGTACTTAAGTCCTGTCCCAAGTGACCAATCAGGCATTGAAGACCAACATGCATCAATCAGAGTACATACACCAGCTTCTTGTGTTACACTTACGATTGACCTACTATCACGGCGAGGGAGCCGTGTGGGATGAAAGTCGTGTCGGCCGTGTGGTGCTTGACGCTCTCTCAATGAACAGTTTTTGAATGAAACAAGCAAAAATTACTCGACTGGACAGAACAAACTACTCAAATGAAAGGAGGTTCACTTGTGCTTCTGTTGGGGATGTCAGTATCCCCAACAACAGACATCCCCAACAGCTTCCCATGTATTTCGCTCGTTGGTGCAGTTTGTTACGCAGCTTACCCTGAATGATGAGCCGCATGTAATTCATGTGTCATAAAGATTACAGTAATCAGACCCAACTGGTCCCATAAGGCTAGTTGCCAGCGACAGTTTAGTCAGATTGCCGCTCAGTTCATCCAATGGCCTTTGACGATCGCCCTCTGAAACAAGCTGAACAACAGAATGCTCCTGCATGTACATTGTACTCGCTTTCTATCGATATGTGCTGTCTGTTTGAAAGGACGATTGAAGACCCAGATATGTTTCTTGAACTGACCTCCCCATCAGTTTCCGTTCGCTTCTAGTTGCAGATCCCTGATGATCCAGAAACCGCTGAGACTGGTTCCGCTAGTGTTGTTATTCTTATAAGCCACCGGGCTGGAGGGTGTTTGCTTGGATTGTTGTCCCCTGGTAGTCACCTGTCCGGTTCATTTGGCAACGTTTCTGAACGAGCCAATATCACTCTCCGTTTGTCATATCCGCTTACGCCTTATGTAATGAAGGCCAGTGTCTAGAACGCTGAGCGGAATTTTTTCAAAATCAATTTAATTGGACATCAGTCTCCCTTTCATTCAATACACCCATTTTGATGAATCAGTAATATGCCTTTCTGTCTTACAGAGCCGCCAGACTGCTAGTCCAGATGCACTTACCCCATGAATGTTCAAAGATGGAGGAAAACCAGATTTACCGTCACACTTTTCTCCACCCAAAAATTCATAAGGGACAGCATATTTTGCAGCTGCATAAGCCGTGGTGATGCTGTAAGTTCACGCGCGGACTTGCGGCATTTTTCGACGAAGCTAAACTGCAGTGTATAGGAGGAATCGCATTCAAATTGGGGTGGCGTATGGTAGAGGGAATACGTTAGGGCATAAAAAAGAACGTTCCCTGGCGTTTCGGCATAGATTCGCTTCACTTACAGGAAGAATTCTCCACGAAGAAAGGACGCGTCGGACTTAGAAGCACTGACTTCATACCGAGGGATCTATAATCAACTGGCTTCCATATACCGAACTGACCACCGCCAGCTTCCATGCTACGGGCAGACGACCTTCGTCTAAGGGTCATCGAAAGACTTCCAGTTTGACGTCACTATACGGGTGCAATGTTTCTGAGAAGCAGAGCGTACTTCATCGAGCCCCAACACAACCACAGAGCGTGTGGTTCAGATTGTACGCCAGTGATTCAATGGTTGGGGCAGTAAATAGGTAGTGCCGAAGTCCCAAGATATAATTACGCGTACTACGACACAAACGCCATTGCCTTGAAGAAGCCATCCTGTGCCATTACGGTTGAGTTGTTCATCGGAAGTTGTTGTTACCAGGCTTAGTCCGGCATACGTACGCTTAAAAAACACTCAGCTGTAGCACCATTTCGGTGCCTAACTGCCATGCCACCCGAAAGGAGCACGGGGGCTGAGATACCGCAGGTTACCCAGCCACCCGAAAGGAGCACGGGGGCTGAGATACCGCCAGGTTACCCAGGCCTGGGGAAGTCGAGGCAGAAGCCGGGTTCAAACCACTGACTTTCCGGTCAGCAAATTCGCGCCCTAACCCCTGAGCTATCTCGCCCTTACATATGCTTTAGGACTGGCTCAAACATGACTATCAGGTTGCTCGCAAATTCTTCTTGATTTCATCTCTAGATGGAGGGACAGATGGATTTTCACCTTCAGTTACATCATCTAAAGAGGTCCCAGAATGTTTCCTATAAGGAATGCTATTCAATTACACGAAACTGAAGATGGACGGTCGCAGTGTCTTGTTTCAACCAAACAGATGTCATGATTTATGCCGCAAAAATTTAGGGCTGCGTTTTCCTTCCAGTAAGTAGTGATGGGTTTGCGCCTAGCGCGTACCATGAACCACCAGGGTCATGAGTGAGTGCACCAAGTGTTCATGGGAGTGGGATACAACGCCTCTAATTCAACTCACATAATGGCCATTTTACATTCAAGTGCGCCCAGGGATATTAAACTCCGGTTCTTAATGTATTTTATTCGTCTCGAGGGCTTGGCACGCACCTATTCAGCCCAAGCTTCTATCGTCCCATAAGACGACTGTGTACTGGAAAGCAAGGAGGCGGAAGCCACCATTACGTGAATAGCGTTAGATTTGGTACGCAGACTGCACACATCGACAAGAAGCTGCATAGATTACAAATTCGAAGATAGGAGTGCGGTCGACTGTCAGAATTGCTATTTTGATTATCCGGTTCTCGTTCGCGATCCCACAGGTTGATAGTTTCGACCTAAAGCTGTCACCTTGTCATGGTGGTCGGCCTTCTGTACTTCAACGGTGCTGCGAGATGCACTGTCTGAAACTCAATTCCTAAAGGTTCAGTCGTGCCAGGTGGACCAACGGGGAGGGGTGGACGAAGAACAAAAAGTAATCACATTACCAGGCGGTCTGGAGATAAAGTCTTCTGTCCTCCGCCATACAAGTGTGAAGGAAGTGAGGCGTTTCCCCACAGGCGACCGGTGTCCATAATTATGGAAAAAGCGAGACTGTCTTCTCCAAGATTAGAAAAAGCACACTGGGGTAGCCCAACGGTTGACTGTGACCACCGGCGCATTATTCAACACGATCGAAATCCTTTTAAAACCAGAGTTCGGTGCTATGCGAAAGGACTCTGTTGTGCGCAGCTGCATCAGGAGTGAAATAGTAATGCCTTACTTCCTTTATTCTCGGGCCAGGCCCGTTCCATGCAGTCAAGTGGGTCAGACTATTGCGTCATTGGCTCCGGGAAGGGTCCCGAAGAAAGCCCAAACAACAGCTGCCTCGCGGCTCAGACTTCTGAGTAAGAGGCTACAGCCAGGGCCCTCGAAAAAAACTTACATCCCCCTACTTTTTGTGGGTAAGACTTTTGAGTCATAGGTGCAAGGTGGGATACCTCAATCAAACCTCCTTATTCGGCTTGAGCAACCAGGAAGTATGATTCGCTCCCCGCTCACCAGCCTTCTCCCCACTCCCCCTCCTCACCCATCGGACGATGCAGTGCAATAAACTCATCTGCCATTCCCCTAACCATTGCTCCGCGTCCAAACCATCGCCCAGGAAAATAATCACTTACTAATCTTAAGAGAGCCTATTTACGTTGCAACCATTAATATCCGTACTCTACATCAAATTCAGCAACACATTTTTTGTTGAAACCTTGCTTTCCCTCTCAGTCGATGCATATAGTGTCCTAGAAACAAGCATACAAGATCCCACTTGGGTCTTGCACCTCAAGCCGCTTAGGACGAGCTCAGATATTCCATATTTCACTCTTCGGATATCCGACGATCCTGACGCAAAGGATCATGGTATTTACGGTGTGGGAGTTGCACTTATCCCCGAAGCTCAAAGCGCCTTACTGGACTGGATCCCACTAAACGGTCATCTCTGCATTGTGCTGTTGTCTGGCCCAATTAAGATCACTGCAAGTCGATGCGGTAAACGGTGTTTATTTGTCGTATCATTATGGCTGAACAATTATAAATTATCAATTGTTTACCTACGAGGAGTCTCAATTAAGGATTGCAGTTTTTTCTAAGATACGCGACGTGACGCTGACCACACAATTGTGTGAGCCCAGTTATCACTTCGGTTTCCGTCAGCATTACGCGTGCCAAAGTAGGGCAGTTCCATTAATTAACCTCGGCAAGTTTCAGTAGCTGACCAGCATTGAACTGATCCGGCCAGATAGTTACTGGAAGAGCAATCATGTGAATGCCGAAAATTGCTTCCAGACTGAATGGAAGCAGGTTGAAGAAGCCATGCTCTCAGCTTTCAGAAGTGTCTACCCAATCAATCGTTGGCTTGAACGATGGGCTGAGATTTTCAAAGAACAATCCAGCGGGCCTGAATGAAAGATCAACACCAGCCCGCCATTAACAACAATCCAGGGTGAGATATCCATCCTCCAACTCGACACGGCACCTGGTTTGGATGGTATGCACCCCGCACTCTTTAAATGTGGTAAGGTTCCGGTGAACAGTATAACAACCATACTGTTGAAGATCTGGAACGAAAACAGAATACTAGTTGGATGGAACTCCTCGGCTGTCATCCAGGCTTTCAAAAGGGTGCAAGAAAATCACGCGAAAACCATCATCTCAATATATTTCGCACCAAATATACTTATGTGGGTTTATTCTAGTCAAATCTCCTCTCGTTTCTCCTGATCGAGCCAGTCCCACCGTGTACACGCAAGGAATATCGTTAGACGGCATGTGCGGTAGATGAGTTGTTGTTTCAGCTGAAAGCTCCTCTAAGGAACCTCGTGTTGTACCATGTGTGATAAGTAAGTAGTTCCACAGCAGTTCCACGGCTTGAATCCTTAACCAGTGTCGTCAAAGCAAGTTCGGTGAGGTAAGTTTGGTGAGGTAATAATTTTGGTGAGGTAATAAGACAATCGTTCAGATGTAACACCCTTTCGACACCTAGCTATCATGCCAACCGAAGGAAGCATGAGGGCTGGGATACTCTTAGGTTGCCCAAGCTCTGACAGAGGTCAAGATGCAGAAGTCGGATTCGACACACGGACCTTACTGTCAGTGAGTTCGCGCTCTGACCACTAACAGCATGTATCATGGCCTGTTAGCTGTTATGAGTACACTACATTGGAGCCATAGAATGCCAGGAAACCGTGATACACCTCCTCAAAGGTTGAAGGACATCATGAAGGGTAGCGCTCGTTCTCGTTCACGAGATTCGGCGTTTATTGTGACTGACTTCGTTGAATGGGAGATGCGTCTTCATAAGTCGAACTGCACCGGAGTAATTGATGTACGTAAGCGATCACCACTCAGAGACAAGTGAGAGGAGTTCCAATATGTCCTTTCAAAGAAGGCATGATAAGGAAGATGACCGAAGTACAACCCGCGAGCGCATGTGCGCATGACTAGGCGGTCAACACTAGACACGATACGCATGTATTGGAGCAAATGCAGTATGCTCATTGGTTAAGAGTGAACTCACTCTTAATGGTAGCCATTAATGGTAGCCAAGTGACCGCTGTTATTTTCAAGGACCTCGGTAACTTGAGATATAAAGACTACCTTGGTACACCTCGAAGCCACTTTCTTAACGTTTTGAATCATAAAATTTATAACCACGACGGACTATGTACGATTATCTATAACCCATCAATAGGATGGCTACGGGCCGTGGATCGATTTTTCATCACTCACTCAGCAGCACCCCCACAGAAAAGGTGCTTTTGGACACTGTTGGAATAGCTTCCCCCCCCCCGGCAACCAAAGACAAGGAGAAAAGAATAAGACCAAATCTGCCCATTTTCCACGATTGAGACGATCGCGCATATGCTCCATATTTCCGTGGACGGTCACAAACACTCGGAACCTTCCGAAAACCGGAAAAACATCATCTTCAACCAGTTTAACCGTTTTGTGGTAAAACCTTTATTCTGAAAGACTGCGCCAAGTATCGCAGTCTAAAGTGAGCCACCGATTGCACAAACCAGGCAGATTGCAGATGGTGAAGGTTAATCATGCACAAGCCAACCTGAAGAAAGTTATTGGCTGGTCCGAGTCACGTGATCCATCGCATGACACGCGAATACGGCCTACCTGCTTAATCGAGGTTTGCACCAATGGCTACTCGTGGCTCGATGGCTGAAATCACGGCCTTGGCCCGCGTTTCAAAGAGCGCGCACCTTCTCTAGCTGACATATGCTGCGCACATCAATCCAGTGTTCAGTCCGGTTACAGTGGAATTTGTTCGCCAATTAGGATAAATGTTAATATGCGCCCAGAAAACTCGTACAATGAAAAGCTGTTTGGCTATACGCTCCGGCTTCTGGAGTATAACTTATGATTTCGACGTTAATCTCGAAAGAAGACAGTAATAAACGGAATATTTGGTTTGGTGGTCTCACGGATTCACGGATTGATACACAGGATCGAGGCTTTTGCCCAAGTTTCCCGGGTCGGTTTTGTTCTTGTCGGTCAGTGGCTGTCGTTCACCTGAAAGGTACAAGTGACGTGAAGTGGACATGAAGGATCTATGGATCTGTCAGGGGTTTCCAGGTCAAAATGTTGGCAAAGTGAGAAGCAGTGAGAAAGCAGTAAATATCCTGAAAGGGTCAATCATTATCCAGCAAACACAACATTATCTGACGTTTTTTGTAGAATCTCTGCTTCATGATGTAGAATTTTCATGGACATATGTTCAAAGAATGTGGTACATAACCCCTCGTTCATTTTTAGAGCTTTTTGGACATGATTCATGTGATAGTTTTTGCGGCCTTTCCTGCTTTGAATTTGATAGCTCACTGCCATGCGTCAGTAAGTTCTTGGCTTAGCTTTGGAGAATTTTCAAATTACGTTGGTTGATTCGCCCGTTGCGTCAGTCGATGGGAATGTAACCGAGTGAGTGAAGGATAAA